TACTTATGCATGAAAAGGTGTACTTCACATTTTAAAAGTCAAAATAATGGTATTTTTGATGTGATATAAAAGATTTGGGTGGTTGATATAAAAGATTTGGGTGGTATAAATGTGAAAAGTAAAGCTTAGGTGTTAGATATGTAAATACATACGAATTGGGTGGTATGTATGTAAATTACCCTAGAAAAATTATGTCAATTGGCCGAAAACCCCTGCGTCGTGCTTTCAGATTTGTCCTGGCATTATATGAGGGCTCATGAAAGTCCTAATGATGCAAGGCCGAATCTCATGCTAGATTGGACTGCTTCATTAAATTCTTGTCCGCCATACATAAAATTCACTTTATCTATTTTATGGTTATGATTAATTGCTTTGCATATTACTATATGGTTACGATAAATGCTATCCTATTTTCTTGATAATTACTATAATATACATCTTCTTATGTAGTATGCAGTGTGTTAGATGCATTTATCATGATTGAAGAAGAAATAACTTGATCTTTAGCCAACCATTCAATGTTGTTGTATAGTTGCCAATGAGATGCTTAGATGATAAAGATTTTCATTGAAGGAATCCTTTTATTTATGAATCAAATTATGAGCACCTTAACCTAGTCTTCTTGCTGTAGGTAGAACTTTTTTCATTAGTATGGCTTTTTATTTTTTATTATAATTTTTCTCTGCTAGCTTAGCAATCATCTTGTTGGATAAAGGCTTGTTGCTGCTTGTTGATTTTTTTATTTTAGGTTAGCAATCATCTTGCTATAATTATTTCTTGCACTATTGGTTTGCTCCAGGATCAGTAATAGCAACAAAGGATATGAACATCAACAATAGAAGCAAGCAACAACAGTAGTTGAGAAGCAAGCATCGACAATAGTATAAAACATAGCAGTAGCAGCTAAAGGTACAAGTGGTAATAGTAGTGAGGATCAATGACTTGTGCTGTAGGGATTAGAGTGGTTTGGCTTTGGCTACAATACCTGCCAATGAGTGCTAGATGGAAAACTTTGGCTTTTGTTATAATAATAAAAGCCACAGGTGTGTGGGGTTGGACTTCGGGTGGAGAGAAACATAGAAGGAAAAGAAAAAGGATTTTTGGAGATATCCAAACTGAGTTCATTACAGATAATTACACTTATTTATAGTTAATTTCTGTTAGGATACGTTCTTATTGATTTCCTAAACAAACTTCACAAAAGAGGGTAACCTATCTTAAATAAATAAAATAACAAACTAGATAAATTTAAAATTAAAGGATAATAACAATGTAATTTTGTTTTAATTTAGAATTTTAGAAAGTAAACATGCATAATCAACTTCAAAATTCAAATCCATTAATTTTCTATTATAATATGGATTTTGATTCGGTCAACTAGACTACCTGTCTCAAGGTCATTGAACAAGCATCTGTTTAATGATCCATGTGCAGACTCTTGGTGATTTTCGCTTTAATCTTAGTAGTGTGTTATAGGAGACAACACCATTGATTATCTCCATTGTGGAATCAAAATAATAAAAATTTAGCAGATATGAATTGTTTAGTCTTTCCACGATCTAATGCTAAAATTATGGTTATAGATGATCTAAATGGTTATCTATGAAACTTGATCCTCAGATAATGGGTTCCTTTTTTTTTAAGAATTTAATACTTGTAAAATTAAGGCTCCTAATGAGATAAAGTTAGTGTGGAATGCTTTTCATGATAAATGACCTTTCATGCCAACACAGAATATTTCCTTTTGCTTATGTATTATTGTGGTAGTCTTCTACCCTAGGAGAATATGCAATCTAAAGGTACTTTCTATTCTAAAAATAAATCATCCATGGCAAGTAGGATTTCTTCCTATTCTAAAAATGAATCATCCATAGCAAATAGGATTTTTTTCTGACTCAATCATGCATGAAAGGCTCCAAGGCATTCAAAATATTCACATTTTCTACTGAGTATGTCTCCACTTATGGCAGTAGTTTTAACTAGTAATCATTATTTCCGATGTTCTTGAGAATTTTAAAATGTCAATACTTGATTGGATTCAACATTTTTTCTCATTTTCTCGAGTTTGTATTTTTGTTTGGTCTATTGCAGTTTATTCACTTCCAATGTATAAATTTTGCAATTGGTCTATGAAAATCTCTAAGCACTTTCTTGGTCAACGTCTACCCCACCATCAATGATGGGGGTGATGGAGACGGGCAGATCAAGAGGTTTTGTTGCAAGCTCCCTTGGTAGGGTTCAAATGTTTTTGTTTTGGATGAGTGAAACTTTGATAGAATTTAGTCCTAAGTTTTGGGATGCTGCTTGTTGTACCCTCATAGAAAATACAATTATTCTGCTCACCATCTCCATTTGGACATCAGTCTTAGAATGAAGGGCAATACTCATTTTTCATTTAGCATCCATCTGGTCATAAGGCCTCCTAGAACTATCTATCTTGATCATGTATAATGGAATTACGTAATTCCAAATGTTCCCATATATGCTAGAAGAGCTTGATGGCCTCCACGATATGATTGTTTTTCTGCGCAACCATATAGAGGTAGCCATGACCCCTAATAGATTAGCTTGATGGCCTCCACGATATGATTGTTTTTCTGCAGGTGGTTAGAATAACCATTTTTAGAAGTTTGTTTGCAACCATATAGAGGTAGCCATGACCCCTTATAGATTTTTTTTTTCAAATCTCCTAGAAAAGTCATGAAGATGTTTTTCCATGGACTGCTTGGTAAGGCCAACGAAGTGAATAATCCTAGATTCTTTGTTTGCGGGTTTAGTGTTTCTACAGAGTATAATCCTTTCAGGTACTTACATCCAGCTGATGCATGTTCGACCAATAAACATTCATCTTCACTTCAAAGTTTCCACTACCTTGGATGTGTGGGCTTCTTGCATCCATTGGAATTGGTTTACAGAATTTGATGTGCGTTGTTACCTTTGTAGATATGGTTATCTTCTTGAGAAAACTCTAAAAGTGTTTTCCTCTTTTAAGTCCTCCAATATTTATCCTTATGGAATTGCTCTTGATATTCTTTCTGCAGAGTAATCTCAAACTTCATAGTAATAATACTCGAGTAGAAAAGCATTAGAGGGACTTGGAGAGCATTTCAACCATTATGTTGCTACTCCCTTTTTATACTTGCTCACTATATTGAATTGTTTAAGCTAACTCACCCACTTCATATGTCGAGTTGACTATTTATTTAGTTTGAGTAGACAAATACTACAGTGGTTTATGCTATGTATGTACCACAATCTCTTTTCTCAGAAGATAAGCATGTCAAATCTTCACTACTTGATGCACTGCCAACTTCTTGTACTAGTTGGATGGTTGTTCTGAGCTTTTTAAAATATGTAAGAGTGATAAGTAGCGAGTCTCCCTTCCTGCATTATTACTGCTCTCATTGTTTATCTACTAGCATCAACCTTTAGATTGAACAGCTATTGCAACTTTGGCAAGCCTATCACGTGGGTCTTGCTTATCATTTTTTTTCAACAAATGGAATGTATCCTTTGCTTCTGGTGTTATTAGAAATAGGCAATAGTTTTGGTTCAAGCAATGTGGCGGAGAAGCAAATATTGAAAACTGATAGATGAACTTATAGACATGTTGGCAAGCTCCCATGAAACTTATTATATCAATCGTTGTCTATGGTTTGGGCTGCTTATTGAGTGCCTTTACCTATGTTGGATCAATTGAGTTTGCCGATTGCCCTTGCAAATCCTAATTAGAGGAGAGACTTCTTTGTGAATTAAAAAAACCTTCCTTTAGATAGATAATAGTGAAGTTGCATAAGTATGTTCCATCTGCTCTTACTACAATTTGTGGAAGACCAAGGTATCTTTTAGATAGATGATAATGAAGTTGCATAAGTATAATCCTAGAACATCATTCCTCAGCCTCATGAATGTATATATGAAATTACAAATTATAAATGATAAAATCAATCACTTGTACAACCTCATTTAGACTTAAAAATAATCTTCGTGTATATATGCACTTTGTATAGCTAGATTTGAGATCCAGCTTGGTGATGATAGTAATGGATTTCAATTGATCCAACATATAGTCAATGTGTGACAATGGATAATAGTTCTTTATTATTATTTTGCTAAGCGCAATTATCGACACATTATCTCTGTTTATCATCTTTTTTCAAAACCATCACAATGGGTAATTGCAAGGCTAAATTGTAATAGCCCAAACTCTCACCCATTGAGATATTGTCCACGTTGGTTTAATGGCCTCACGATTTTGCCCCATTGGTGTAACTTCACAAAAGGTCAATTTCCTAGGAGTGCTCCCATGCGAGCATGCTTAACTTTGATATTTCTGTCGAATTACACCATTACACCAAAAGGCATATCGATATTTTAGATTTCGGCTTCATTCTACTTAAGAGGCTTTACAATATTCATTGCTTAAGTAACCGTTATCTTCATCTGTGCTCTTAGCCTAGATTAATCCATGAGGCATATAGGATTCTAGAGGTGGCTTCCATCATGTAGCATTTTTATCGCATCTTGGGCTTAAGAGGTAGATCCCATGTAATGTTCTGATACCATTTGTAACAACCCGAACTCTCACCCATCGAAATATTGTCTGCTTTGGCCTAATGGCCTCATAGTTTTGCCTCATTGGTATAACTTCTCAGTAGGTCACCCATCTTAGGAGCTCTTGCCTCATTGGTATAACTTCCCAGTAGGTCACCCATCTTAGGAGCTCTCTCATGTGAGTACACTTAACTTTGGAGTTTGTGGCGAAATTTCACCATTACACCAAAAGGCACCTCAATTTTTAAGTGTTCGGTTTCATTCCACTTAAGGGTTTTCACATAAATAACCGCATTCTTTGACTGTGCAACATATTTTATAATCACTTCACTCTCTTCTAATACCTTGGAAGGTTTGGTAGTGGCACATTTGAGATCAACTAGATATCATACCCTGCAAGTCATTTTGGTGGCATGCCCTAAACCTCCAAGAAAAGCAATGCATACTTTTCCAATAGTTTCTACAATCATAGATCTTTAGTTTTGCTCAATACAAAAGGAATGAAACTTTTTTTTTCTTTCATGGTAGGCCTAATAAGCAAAATTAAAAATTTTCTACAACACTTGTTGTTTGCCACAAAGTAGTAGTCTTATTTTTTCAAGATGTTGATGCCTTGATGGCATTAAGCTCACACTTGACTTATATTCTTAGGTCGAACTCCTCTCATGTTTTCACATGGGATTATGGCCCTTTCATTATATTCTTTAATATTGCCATCAGAGATGAGCTCAGCATGGTATTGTTTGCACAAATGTAGTAGTCCTGGCCATCAGAGATGAGCTCAGCATGGTATTGTTTGCAGTAGTAGTCCTATTTTATTCATCCTTTTGTATTTATTAGGGAACAATTCAAGGTGTGCTTTTCATTATTTATCCTTGGTATGACCGATTATCTATCAATAGCCTTTTTTTAGAGTTTCAGGTTTTGTATCTTGACCTTCCTTTTATCCTTGCTCCTTTATTTTTTAGGAAGAAGACTCCCTTTTAAAGGTGCTTGGGGTTGCAATTTGTAAATAGAGCCTCGAGGTTTACGTCATCAATATTTGTATTTTCTTATCGATATAAGAACAGTTGAAGCCAACTATATAATTTTTTATGCCTCTTTTTCCTTTCCATGCTTGATCTCATGTTTGTTTGGTTGTGGTGCATAGTGCTTGCTCTTAATGATGCTTCTGAATTGAATTTAGAAAATATTGTTACGAATGGTGTTACACCCAAAGGTTTGACTAAGATTGAGTGATTTATGCAGTTTGTGGCTCCCATGGATTAGGGCCCCTTCTATCAAGGTTGAGTAAGTTTTAAGAGGTTTGACTGCCATGATGGCTCCATCTTGTTGAATGGGGCTCTTAGTGTGTAATACTTGATGATGATGAAAACTTTTGCTAGTGGTTGATTGAGAGCTCTCAATTGAAAATGGTTAAGAAATCGATAATGTTGGTTTTATCATACATTGAACGGTTGAAAAATGCTTTATTAATCTTTTTAAGTTGAAAATGAGTTTGAACACTTGTGTATTCAATCCAAGGCCAACCTTGACCCTCTTTTGATTTCATGTTCTCTATCAATGTCCATTGCTTTACCCAACTTTTTGGGATCAACTCAGGGTGCTTTTGTTTCGGCTTGTGGCTATACGAAATATCAATTCAAAAGTTGGTATAGAAAATCAGTTGTTCAGAAGCTGGTGTTTCAATAGTGTTGGTTAGTTTGAAAAATATAGTTTTAAAAGTGTTGTCAGTGAATAAATGTCTGAAATACTCTTATGTTATTTTTTTTAAATAAAATTAAATAGAAAAAACCCTAATACTTTTTAATAATTATAAATTAAACATGCTTTGTTTAGTCCTTAAAATATATATGCTATATACATATTAATTTCATTCCGTGTGTGTGTAGATATATATTTATTAAGATTTCGTTATTTATAGAAAAAGTGAAAAAATCTTGCATCTGAATGAAATTAATATGTATTTAGCATGGAAATCAAAGTAACTTTGGCATACCAAACAACAAATCCTGCCAAAATTCATGACCCACCAAAACTTTAGCGGGGTAAAACAGGGGAGCGCGAGGCTCCAACTCCGGATGCGGTCTCCCAAGTGCGTTCGTGAGGGAGAAGAGTCACTGCCACATGTTTGTAACAGCAAGTTTAGGAAGCACAAATCAAACAATTTATTAGTGAACTCGGTCCCAAAGCAGGCTGAAAAGCTGAAACAAATGGACCCTTAAGTAGAAGGATATAGAAGGCAACCACAATTCCTGGTAATAAGGCTAATCATTTTGTTCATGATGGTTAGGTTGCTTTGTCATTTTTCATGTTAATATGGCTGCTGCTTGAACAGAAACCTGCTGGATTCTCAATTTTGCATGAAAGGATGTAAAGCAGAATATTTGAAAATATATACTTCTAAGCTGATGTAAAGATAAAAATTAACTTCAATGTTATCAGATTCGTGAATAAAATATGACTAATAGGACTAAAATCACAGTCTCATCTTTTCATAAACTCAGAAGATATTAACGATAAACTCTACTATTACAGATATATTTCTACATAAATATCTGATGTGCAAAGTTTGAAGAAGAAAAAAAGCCAATGAGTTGTAGCATAAGTGGCATTATTCTGGTCTTCTAAGAAATGGGGAGTTTTGTTTTTGCTTGTTCCTTTTTTTTGGCAGTTTGACCCTTGTAACTATTTTTGGAGGCCATATACTTTAAGCTCGAGCTATTGTTCGTTAAGAGAGAAGGTTTGGCTCAAATCTACTTAAAAATCGCAACTAGCCGTAGTGTATCTGCCATGTCCCACACAAGTTTTATTGAAGTTTTTTTTATTATTAAAATGTAGAGTATATTTTTTCCTATATTTGGCACGTTTTAATGTCCTACAGAATGCATGTTCGTGTTGACACATGTTGAACACTTTATAATCTTATGTTTTGGTAAGGAAACAAATATTAAATGAAACGACTTATGATGGTAATTATTATGAATGCTACGTTAGTGTTACTGTTGACTGTATCAAGTCTCCAACCTCAGTTTTCCTTACTCCGAGAAGGCTGCTTGATAGTAGTTTTAGTCTACTTATTTCTCCATGATGGCGGGAGGCCCATGAATTGGTTTCATCCCCTTCAATGAACTTACTTGGCAGCAGTTATTTGGCAAATTAACTAAGGCAGATAGTTTGTTCCATGATTCTAAAAATTAGCCATGAATGGTTGCAAATAGTAATAAAAAAAGGTCTTTTCTTGCAAACACGCAATACTTACATGTTTTTCATTGATAAAAAACAGGGTATACGGGTGCAAGTAAGGAGTGTGTATATTGAGAGCAGAAGCCAACCATCAAAAGGGCAGTACTTCTTTGCTTATAGAATTCGAATCACTAATAATTCTGAGCATCCTGTACAAATCCTTAGACGGCACTGGATCATAACTGACGGCAACGAGAGAACCGAGAACATCTGGTCTATATTCCATTTTCACTTCGTGCTTCTTAGACTGAATTTCAGATTTTTAATATCTATTTGCTGAAGCCTTTCTTGTTTCCTCTGCTCATGGCTTGTGTTATAACTAATTGAACTGGAGCTTCCTATTTCTTTGGCAGGGGAGTTGGCGTTATAGGAGAACAACCTGTGATACTTCCAAATACTGGATTTGAGTACTCTTCTGCCTGTCCCTTGAGTACTCCTAATGGAAGAATGGTAAGTTTGCTCTATAATATCCCTCTTTTTGAATATTAAGGCATTTGCTATCTTCTAAATAAGGTCCAATTGAGAGCATTAAGTGGTTCATTGTAGCTATTATAAGTATATATTCCTTATTTCCCTTTAGGCCCCATTTTGGTTGCTTTCGAGGCAGAATATACTTTTTTTAAACTCAAGGGTTTCATTTTCTATTGTCAGTTATATCAAATATGAAATGCTATTTAAGTAACTCTTAGGGTTACAAATTTGAGTCAATCATACTTAATGAAATTAAGTTTACTTATTTGAGTTAGTCACTTGATCGGTTGATAGTCCACATCAAATGTGTCTAGAACCCTATTATTTATTGGATATATCAGAAAATAATCCATAGACAAATGAAGCCTACTTAATGCTCCTTATTGATGATGTGTAAATTATTATATGTAAGGGTTTGAATCCCCGCTAGTGTGGGGTGAGTTACTCGAATTGTTAGGTGCATTAGGGATGATTGAGACTCTTATAATAACCTCAAGCTATATATATAGATATTTATAAAGGTTGATCACCGATCACCGCAGTCTGGCTGAGGGGCGGACTCCCCTTCCAGAAAGATGTGCAATTCGATCCTATGCTCCTAGGTATCGAACCCACGACCCGAGGGACTTACACCAAATGCCGCAACCAATGAGTCAGGCTAAGGAGCGCGCGCGCGCAAACACACACACACACACACACACACATGGATCACAAGGAATGCGGAAGGCCGGAATTGGAACGGTGGTCGTCGAGAATTGGAAGCCAAGATAAAGCCAAGATGACAGGAATTCAGAAGGTGGAACAACGAGGAAAAATTTATTTATTTATTTTTATTTGTTGCCATTACTATTTTTTAGTTATAATGAGGGAATTTGATGGTTAAAAAGTGGGAATATGAAAAAAATTCAGTTTTTTCTCCATTTTCTTTGTTTAAATCCAATTGCTTTTAATGTTAGGCTTCTTTCTAAGACTATAAATAGAGATCATTAATTAAAGAAAAATTCACAAGTGAGAGGAGTAAAAGAGGGAGAGTGGAGAGTAGAGTTTCCTTGATTCATATGCGGCTAATCAGCGTCCCAAAAGAAGAAAGTGTTCTCTTCTTGCGTAACAGACAAGCAACGTGATCTTTTACATTACAGTGCAGAAAAATGTCCCCGTCTGACGTAGCAGACGAGCAACGAGATCTTCTTGTGTTGTAATGTAGGAGAAAGTCATCTTCGTCTTGCATAACAGACAATCAACAGGATCTTCTTTCACATTAGTGAGATGAAGAAAGTTAATTTTCTTCGTCTTGCATAACAGACAATCAACAGGATCTTATTTCACATTAGTGAGATGAAGAAAGTTAATTCCGTCCATGCCCAACAGGTGACTTGAGATCTTGTTGTTGCTATTTCGCATTCCAGTGAAGATGAAAAAAATGCTAGAGTTTTCCCGCCACGCTTTGAGGGGAATATTTTTATGCTTATGTGGCAGCGATATCTTTTGTAACGTTTGCGTCAGTTCTTGTTGGTCTTTATGGTATTTTGAAAACAACATGAAAATTTTACTAGAATAAAAATAAAATTTTATAGGTTAGTCATTTACTCAAGTAAGATAATTTGGAGTTGTACTTCTCATCGATAACCTCGATGATTTTCTTCTAGTTCCCCTCACCTCGTTCTTGTAAGTAGTGACCTAAGCGGCATTGGCGTATCAGACGTTCAATTTCTTTATTTAGTTGAAAACATCTTTTTGTTACTTGTTCTTTCGCTTGGTGGAAATTACAATATTGAGACTGGTCTCTATTCATTTAGATTTTTTAACGGACTTGGCCACTTGACACCTCTTCATCCTTGATGGTCATTAAGATGTTGATACGTAATGTGTTGAGTGACATGTATTTTTTTCTGATCAAGGCTCATGATTCACCTGTGGTTCAAACTTTTTTCTTTGTGAAATTTAATCGGTATGCCTGGTGTTATTCTTGCGCTTGTCCCCTAATCGCTTGAATTGTACCTTATGTGCACTGATAGCATCTGCCGAGATTTGAGCTTCAACATGATGGACAAGATCGAGGTAAGAACGAACTGTCTCCCATATTAGTGATGAGTAGACAAGTACTGGGCAGAGCTCTCAAAGAAAGACTCATCTCAGTAACTTTGGATCCACTCCTGGAATCTAGCAGGCTTCAATGAAGAACCTGCAAAAGTATTTCTTGAGAGATTCCCCCTCATTCTAGCAAACACCCGATAAGTGGGATAAATCTTTGATGATCCTTCTATTTGCTATGAATTATCTACAAATAGTCTGACAAACACATTGAATGTGTTGATGGTGTCTCCATGTAGGGAGTAAAACCATGTGCAAGCTTAAACCTTGAGAGTCGCAAAGAACACTTGATAGAGAAGTGCATTAGAGACACAATGAATATGCATGATGGTTCGATAATGGTCGACGTGCTCGTATGGGTCAGTTACCCCTTCATAGGCATCGATATTCGGGAGTTTGAAGCCCGTTGGAATAGGGTGGCGGAGAACTGCATCAGCCAAAGGAGAGGATTCTTGGAAGTTATGGCGAGCGAGGAAGTGATCCCTTTTATCCAGAGGGAACTCTTCCCGAACCAGGCATTCTAGCTCATCACGGATGATATTAGCAGAAGCGATAGTAAGGCTGGGCGGTGATAGGTGAGTCACATGAGACATTTGAGTGAAACTTGTAATGTCGAGGAGATCAGCGTCCCATCTCGACAGGGGAATTGTTTCATCACGGGGAGAGCACCCGGTGACAGGTAGTTCCTGTTGAATGTTGAACTGGTAGTAAGTTCTATTGTGTTGCAATTGTCGCTCCCCACGTAGGAGTTGTAGAATCCTCAGTTGAGATGCCTTCTTCTTGCGTACTCGGTTTTCCATAGAAGGACTTGAGCCACCTTTGTTACTGGGATGACATCTTTCAGAGTGGGAGGATGTAGAGGCTTGGCACCCTTAGCTTCGCGACTTCCTTCTTGAATAATAGGTGTTGGAACGAGATTCTCCGTTGTTGCGAGATTTCTTCTGGTGGTCATGCAGCAAGTCTCGCAAGTACTTCAGTGATAAGAATGTTTTATTCCCACATTGGTGCTAAACTGGTGTGCTAGAAAATTTGTGTCAGTAAAGTAATATATTATTGTCTTAGTGTGGTACGCAGATTCAGTACACACTCAGAAGAGAGAAAACAACAATTACTAACACCAAAAATTTTAACGTGAAAAACTCGTAAAAGGAAAAATTATGAGGCCTGATCCAGCTGAAAATTGCTACATAATATGATGATTATAGTTGCAATCACTTATCTCACAGACGGAAAAATGGTTACTTGGTCTCCCAAGTCACAATGTCGACGTGTGGATGAACTTGTTGCAAAGAACTAGCGACTACCAATAGCGATCGACGACAGTCGTCAGGTGGTGTTCTACGGTGATCGACTGCAATCGACCACAATCGGAGGTGGATGACGGCGGTCGGCGGTGGTCGATAATGGCAGGAGTGTTGCTGGACTTCAGCTCTTTCTCAAGACTCAAGCTCTCTTTTCTTTTTTCATGAGAGGATGAAACTCTATTTATAGTGTCTCGACTACAACTATAGCAATAATATGAATTACTTTAATTGGACGATCCAAAAAGTTTCTTTTGATCAGATTGATCAAACAGCGTTTGATGGACATTTGAGTGCTTTAATGATGAATTGAGCGATCTAGTGTTCGTTGGATTCGTCTTGTCAAGACGCTCGATTCGAACATAAGCTCGTCAGATTCAACATCAGTTTGAACTTAAAAAAATGCCTTGAAAGCTTCCAAAAGTGATTTAATGTCTTCATATGTGCTTGATTTGACTCGTATTGGATCGATTTTGGTGTCATTATGTCTGTCTCGTAGAGCCAGACAATTTAACTGTAAGTTTGTTGAAATATGCTTTCCGGATGATTTTTTATTAAAATTTGAATGATTCTTGCTAAAAAAAAGTGCATCGAGATCAATGCCATGCATCGAGATTCACATTGGATGTTGGAAATTTGTTGATGACGTAGCAGATTAATATAAATGTGATGATGCTACTTTTTAAGATAATGATTTTTTGTCCAATGTTCCTCTATGACATGGATTTGAGCTTCTTACATTGATTCATTGTTTAGGATATAAATATTTTTATCAGTCCGAGTCAATTAGATATCGTTCACTTGGTCAGCTTTCACCCCAGATCTGAAATCATTTTTGATAAAACAACTTATGACTACTGATAAGAATTTTAGGTTAGACTGGCTCGATTCCCAAGACATGTTGCATTCTCGCCTCGAAGATCTCTGAAGGAAAATGTTAGACAAGAAACAAGATTCATTCTCCCGTTCTTCTTGTAGATGTCCCGTCGAAGAGTCGAGATAATTGATGAACTAAATTTATACACAAATACGATTATATAATTTTTTTTTTTTACTTATTTTGCTGAACTAAGGCCCCATGCCGACGTTGTAAAATCGAGCCCACCTGTTGATGTGGTTCATATGAGCGTTCTTGCTGAAATGGTTGAATTGAGCCCATCCACTGAAATGGCTAAATCGAGCCCATCCACTGAAGCGGTTGAATCAAGTCCACCTTTTGAAGCGGTTGAATTAAGCCCATCTAGCAAAATTGTTGTATTCATTCCTCTCGAAAATAAGGTCTAGCCCCCTTATGTGAGGGTAGCTATCGGAGAAAATCATCATGATTATTAAGAACATCTGTCAATCAATCATTGAAAGCTTCACTCGACATTTACAACTTAGTCTTTTCAAGCAGACACCAGAGATGGACATCATACCAGCACCGCCTGACACTGACATCACTATCTTTTCATTAAAGACCCCGGGGAAGGGCACTGTGCAATACAAAATGAGTCTATTTGTGATTTTATTGTTTTTCACTCTTGTGTTTAAAAGGGAAGTCAAAAGGTGTAAAGGAGGAGGTTCTTTTTCAGGGAATCTCGATTTATTTCTCTCTCTAAAATGTTGTAATTTAAGGAACCTACAAGGGTTTAGGCTTTTCCGGAAAACTCAATACATTCTCTAAGGTTTTCTCTCAGGACTCGCATTCATCCGTCTCTTTAATATTCTCTCTGTGATACAAGGTCTTTACCGGATTGTATGCACTCACGAACAATACGAGACTTTATGTCTTAACATAGTACGTAAAAAATCTAAATTTGTTTTTTAAGAATTGAGCGATATGTGCGTAAATCTTCCTTTCTTTTTTTTTTTTTTTTAGTGGCATCCATGTAAATCTTCCTTTTTTTTTTTTTTTTTTTTTTCATTTTGATAACAACACAATTTACTGATTTGGTTTTTTTCCTGAAAATAAATATAGGAAGGTGATTTTGAGATGAAGCATATTGATATGGTTGGATCATCAACTTTCAATGTAGCGATTGCCCCCTTCTCTCTGTCCTGCATGGGAGATGAAGATGGTGGGCTCCTTTAGGGTCTGCACACATGTTTTCTACCTGTTTTAACCTACACTGGGAGGGGATTTTAGCCTTTATGTCCTAAGGTTTATATATTTTTATGTTTTTCAATTCAACCCCAATGTGGACGAAAAGGCTCTCGTACAAATCATGTTTACTTGTATATGTGCATGATGTAATCAATATATAAGATATTTTTAGATTTAGGGGTGCAAAATGATGAGTATTTTTTATTTTATTTTTATTTTTATTTATTTTTTTTTAAGTTTTAGGGTATGTTTGTAATAATATCTTTCTATGTGCATTGCGTTTATTGTCTGATTTTCTAAAAAATAAATTTTTGTAATTTCTCTCTTAAATAGATTTACAATAATTTTTACAAAAAAAAATAAAAAAAATGTTATAGCTGTTCCAAATGAATCCCATATGAATCTCGATGTATAGTTTTAATTCATTATTTTATTTTTTTGTCATAAATTTGATTTTAAAACTATTCGGGTCTTTTTGAGAGGAATGTTGAATAATAATCTGATGCTAAAAAAGTTTAGGTGGCAGACACAAGTTTTTTCTTTTTTTTTTTTAAGTCAGAACGTAGCTAGAAAGCTGTCATCACACCTACCCGGGAGTAGTGCGAAAATGTAAGTTTCAGCAGCAGCATTTTAAAAAGACTTTCCAAATGTAGTTTATCTTAATGAATAAAACTTCTTCGGTGTAGTGTTGCACCACCGCCCCAAACTGACCCTCAGAATTTTGTCGAATTTAATGAACCCTTCTTTTTTGTCCTAAAAACGGCTTTAAATGGTAACATGGTGAAAGAATTATCTTTATGTTTCTTATATTTAGCTAACTTTCTATTTATACAAATAATAATTATTTTGACTTTTAATATTAGCATTTAAATCGTAAATCTTTATGCTTTACTTGTGCCAGACGTCCGCACCAAAAAAAATTGATTTTTTTTTGGTTGTATGCGTGGAGGATTCATATATTAATCTAATTTCAGGCCCAAATATTTGTATGGGGTCATAACTTGAAGTTGACTCGACTAAGGCCCGATCGCGTTCGATCAAATTAGTAAATAAATAAGTTTGAATAATTTTTAAAGAACTTGAAGCTAAAACGAACAAAACACAAATGTTATCGAACTTGTTCATTTAAGTTCATGAATAAATTTGTTTGTAGTTGAACAACTTGTTACATACTCGATATTAAGCTTGTTAATAACTTGTATTATATATTATATATTTATATAATATTTATTTAATTATAGATTTGATAATAATGTATTATTATATTAATAATATCTTTAATTTAATTATTAATTATATATTTATTTTATTAATAAGTAAATGGTAGTTTATAATGAGATATTTACACTTGAAGTGTGTCATAAAAGATTTTTCTTGTGGAGTTATCAGAACCATTTTCTTATGACCGTCTTACTGCAATTAACAATAACATTATTGCTATTATTTTCTTATTAATATGATTGAGTAAATGATGTTTCCTATATCTTTTATGATCAATTTAGTTATTTCACTTACATAATTTGAACTATTATAGTCTTATCGATGAGAAGCTAATTAGTAAACTTCATAGATTTTAGAGTTCCTAATCGACAGCTACGATTAGAATTGCAAAATTATTTATTAATTTTTATATATGAAAATATAGATTCTTATTTGAATTTTTAGCTTGTTTGAATACTCGTTTACTTATCATAATTAAATCAAAACAAATCAAGCTTGAACAATGTATGAAAGCTCGATACAAGCTCAAGCCGAATATGAACAACTTATAATTATATCAAGCCAAATCCGAACAACGATATACTCCGCTCCGCTTTGCTCTATTAAAACCCTACATACCGCCCAATTGTCATGCATTTATGTCCAACAACTAAACTGTCATTTATATTTATAGCCTTCAAATATTTCAAATTTTTAATTTTGAAATTTTGAAATATATATTTTCATGTCCTTGCGTCATGCATGTATAAGGTGGTATGCATAATGTACATAAAAATTAAAATATAGGTGTCAGATATGTAAATATGCAGTAATTGAATGGCCTTTAGGTGAATCATTAAAAAAAAAATGGAATTATTAGGTAGAGTTTGTCGCCGAGCATCTGCGCCCATTTGTTTTATCTGCATCCGTATTTGATTAATAATTGAAAACTTAAATTCTTATTCGAATTAAATTGGGTAGTTAAAATATATAATTTTTTTATCATGAATGGCGAATATTTATTATATAATAATATTAATATTATTGCTCATGTTGGAATATTCGTGATATTAAAGTGTAAAAATAAAATAAAAGTGAACCTAACTTAAGACTTAGCCAACTTTTTGGGTCTAACTTACATTAGACCTAAACCCAAAACCCAAGTCTAATCTAACTTAGACTTAGCCAGCTTTTTGGGTTGAACTTACATTAGGCCTAACCTAAACTTAGGTCTAACCTAAATTAGACCGAGTCGAACCTTTTGGGTCTCTTACATTAGACCTAACTTAAACCATAGGTCTAACCTAAACTAGACCTAGTCCAACCTTTCGGGTCTAACTTACATTAGACCTAACTTGTACCATAGGGTCTAACCTAAACTAGACCTAGCACAACTTTGGGTCTAACTCACATTAGACCTAACTCATCGCTAGACCTAGTCCATCCTTTTGGGTCTAGCCTGCATTAAACCTAACCTAAATTAGACCTAGCCCAACTTCTGGGTCTAACACATCGTAGACCTAACCTAAACCCTAGATCTAATCTAAATTTGACCCAATCCACCCTTCAGGTCAAATTTATACTAGACCCAACCCAAAACACTAGGTCTAACCTAAACCAGACCTAGCACAGCCCTTTAGGTCTAATAGAAATGATACAGTTAAATATCATAAGTTATAATTAATGATAATATATAATTTACTAATTTAATTTAATTTAATATTTCATCTCCATCCAAGAGGACCGATGAGTCGCGTCATGCTGGAAACAAATGTCACGAGATTCTCACGCCAAGCTGCATGCATTAATTCATGCATAACGTATTCCCTCTTTTTATTTATTTATTTTTTTTTGTTTTATTGCAGTTTTAATTTAATTCATGGTTTAAAAGTGAAGGACTGCCTTCTCTTCGTCATTTCTATCGGTTTTTCTGCCTTATGTTCCGAATCAAATTAGCATTTATCTCCATGACAGGTATGCAGAAAGCACCCTCTTTATTTATCTCAAATGATCATGATTGTTTTTTTCTCATTATTTTGAAACTTTATTTTAAACAAAATCATAATTTTTCGCCATTAAGTTGCATCGAACTAGGGGTTTAAACGTAAGCTCCTGTTCGGCTCGTTTATTTTTCGAGCTCAAAAAATTTGTTCATGTTCGGCTCGTTTGCTTAACGAACCGAACACGAGCTGTTCATGAACAAAAAGTCATTTTGGCAATCCTAATCACGTAGTCATAAGATGTTGAGCATTTGAGCAAGATTTAAAAATTAATGTTTATATTAAACATCATTTGAATCTAATTTAATAATTTGCATTCTATTTTCTTAATTAATTATTTTAATTGATTATAAATCTTTATAGCCTTGCAGTCAATTAATTTTTTTTAAAATACCACTCTTCAATATATATATATATATATATAAATATTTGATGAGTAGTATTTCAAACTAAAATGAACCGAACACGAACGCACAAATTTTTGTTCTTGTTGTTCATGTTCGGATTGTTAACTTAACAAACAAACCGAACACAAGTTTCTTAACAAGCCGAACACGAGCTGTTCACGAACAACAAACTGTTTTGACAGCCCTACATCAAACAGCTGTTTTGATATATATATATATATTTCAATTTTTTCGAACTTTTATGAAATTTCTTTTGTACTTTTCTAAATTTGAAGAAGGAAAATATATTTTTTTTTCTGCGTAGGAAGAGTGGTATATATATATAAATTGAAATTTAGACGTTAGTTATGTAAATTAATAAGTAATGAGTGAAATGTATTAAAATATGTCTTCGCATTGTCAAATTCAAATAAATAAAGAAGCAGAAATAAAATAAAGCCAAATCTTATAATAGTGATGCGGAATTATTGCCTTTTATTTATTTGGAGGACAGCAACACATGCAGCTAAGCAGCTTCTGGCGCCGGAAAATAAATAAATAAATAAGCTCTGCTTTGCTGTATTCACAAATATATAAATATATATTATGGGGGTATGTATGTACTTAGATGCATTTTCATGAAATTTTTACTGGGTGACATGATTATTGAGATTATTTTTAATAAAAAATATTCGTGATTTAGATTCAAGATCATCCAGAGCTCTGATTTCATGAAGGTTATAGTCATGCTGACCGTCTCGACAAAATGAACCAGATGAAACCAAAATTGGTTTGATCTGAATCCAATCAAGATGTTAAAGCACTTTTAAAAGCTTTGGATTGTCAATTATATGATCAAATGAACTCTAAATTTGACATATTTATAATAAATCGAGCGTTTAGGAATCCAACGGGGCAAAAGTCACTTATTTTTTAGGTCATTAATTCCCTAAAATCATTAAAAAATCTCATGTGATCAAGAGGAATCAATACGGGCTATAAAAAGTCACATAGGTGATTTGAGAAGTTATTCGCCATAAAATCAAAATGTCACTTCCTTATAGGCTATAAAGACACTCATTCTCTTCACTGGATGGAGAGGGAGAAAGATTGGAATTATAAAGATGTTCTGGACTGAAGACCTGACAATAACTTTCAGTCTTCGTGTTGACTACCATCGACCACCGCTGTTGGCCACAGTCAATCATCACAAGCCGTTCGACAACCCCTACTTAGTAATGATATCCCAAAAAACATCAATAGTATGCAATGCCGTATAGAAGACCCGACGATAATTTCCGGTCTCCATAGCCGCCAACAACTGTTGAACACCTTTCATCCGCTGTCCTGGCCTTGCACATCGGCGTCGGCAACTCCTGCTTGCCAACGTTGCATCTATAATACAATTGTAACATATAACGACATTTTGAAGAATTCTTTAAAAAATTTTCAGGCAAATACAAAATTTTCATCGAAAAATTGGGTCGGTTCAATTCTACTAGTGCTCGACTTTAGATTTTAATGCAAATTCTTTTGAATAAAACATATAAAAATAGTTGTATAAAAGCCATATTATTCAATCATCTAATCTAAAATAGAGGCTTTCATACATACCATTTAATTCCCACGTATTTACATATCTATCATTTCTTAAAATGGTGAACTTACTATGTAATATAAAAGATTATAAAACTATTTTATATGCAAACAAATAAGAATCACGTGGGTATGTTTGTAATTGAGCCTTTAAAAAAATATAGTAACATGTTTGGTAACTTGCGTTAAAAAATAATAGTTTTCATATAAAGAACTCGGAAAAGAAAGCGACATCGGACCCATCGAACAATGGCTTGGCGAAAGCTCTCTAATGGCCGCATGCTCAAAGCCGAATCTTCCTTCCCATCCTAAACCCTAGCCGCATGCTCAAAGCCGAATCTTCCTTCCCATCCTTCACTCAGCAACTAAATTATTCAGCTATGATTAAGCATTAATCCAGATTGCCATTCGGTACTCCCAAAAAGGAAAAAAAAAAATTTCATACAGAGTTTGGATGCAGTTCTGCGTCAGAACTCTAATAAAATCTTGTCATATGTATCTGACTGGACCCAACTAAAAAATGATGAAAAAACCCCACGAACACCCCAATAACATCGCAATATTATTTGCGTGTTATTGGCGTGATCCTCCGGGCTGTGTTATTGGCGTTATTCATGGGTGTTATTGCGATGTCATTGTGGTGCCATTGGAGTTGATTTTGTTGGGGTTTTTGCGGTGTTACTATGATGTTATTTGTGTGGTCCTTCGGGCAGTATTAGACATTGCGGTGTTATTGTAGTGTTATTAAAGTTATTTTGCAGTCATTTTTTAGGTTGACTCATCCAGATACACATGATAATATTTTTTTGCCCAAAAAGACTCCATCACTAAACGTGAAGCCCATTAAACAATTTTGAGTTATTTTAATCACAAAGCGAGTCAAACACCGGTCAAAGATTGAGTTTTTAATTTTGATGCAATGTTTGAAGCGAAATGAAATAAAAACTGACGAAATTGCAATAATTTAAGTTGCTGATTATAAATTTTTAGGCAACAAATAAAATATAGCTATTAGAGTCATTTAATTTTTTTAGTAATTTTGGAATGGGGTTTAGGTTTAATTTTTTTATTTGGGATATTTACATTTATACCCCAAAATTCTTACGGTATCCACACCCAAACATTTCATATTTACACACATAACACTCAAATGTTGAATATCACATTAAAAATAAGACAGTGACAATTCAAATTGATTTTTATCTTATTATAATTTGAATGTAAACTAAATTTAAAAGTGAAACTAAGTGGAATGGGTCAATTTGAAAATGGAATATAGTTTGGGCTTTTTTGTCAAATTTAAAGTGAAAAATGATGTACGCTTTGATTTGAATTGGTTTAAAGCATTTTTTTTTGGTTTGAATCGGTTTAATTACATTTAATTACATGTTTTTTTGTTGAGAAAATGATTTATATTATATATTAACTCTTAATGCATAATTTGCTGGCTCAAGTAACATCAAATTTTGATGTGTTTTAAATTAATTTATTTTATAAGAAAAATATTATAAGAAAATTTCTTAATAAAGGTTTTTATGACCGTGAACGTAGATTTCATTACATGCGTTAAGATGATGCAACGTATATGTATTTAATATTATAATAATTCGAGCTAAGTTCACAGCCCTGTTTGAGCCCCATTTTGACTTTATATAATTTCTGTATTTTATTTTGTAGGTTCATTAAAAAATTTTAAATTCTGTATTTTATTTTGTAGGTTCATTAAAAAATTTAAATAAATAAATAAATAAATAAATAAATTTAATAAATTTATATTAATTGACGTTCATCAAAATATCTGAAATAAATTGTTTCGACCGAACTTGATTGAATTTATATAGAGATTATTGCAATAAAACATAATCCTATCAAACACAAATTTGTATTCATACATTCTGAAAAAAAAAAAAATTCCTTACAAATTTATAAAACATAATCATATGAAAAGCAAATTGAATTATCCCACTTAATTGTTTTCGAAATGATTTATTGAATTTTGTCATTGCATTTTATTGCGTAATTCTGCTGTTTTGGAAAAACCTTTTTTTTTTTTTTGGGAGGATAAATATTATTTTCCTAATAACAGTTTCAATTAAATTTTTTAAAAATCTGCTTTTCTGAAAAAAATATTTCAGAATAATAGAAAACAAATTTTATCTTAGCTTATACAATTTTAGTTCACTTTAATTTTTTCCGTGAACATAACAGTAAAAAGTGAATATGAAATAATGAAAAAATGTATATGTAAATATGAGATTTTAGATGTTAGAAACGTAAATATATAATATTATATGTAAATACTCTCTTTTTTTAGTCTCAAAATATGAATTTAATGAGGGCGAAATTAAAAGCAGTTCCCAACTGAATTAATTTACATGCACTCCCATGCCTTCGATTCTCCTCCATTTTCCTTCATTCAAAACCGACATATGAGGGAGGAATCCAACGCCGAGCAACGGAAAACTTGGGGGAGACAAAGCGCCGATAAAAGTGGGCGGTAGAGAGAGAGAGAAAAGCGAAGCAAGGCATCTCATTTCATTCTCCATTTTACCCCCTTCTCTCTCTCCTCTTCCCTCCCTCTCTCTCTCTCTGTCTCTCTACCATGCCGAGATCCTGCACTTCTTTTATTGCGTGAGTATCACATACCAATGTCCTTCTCTTTGCTGTAAGGTAATCCACTAATATATCTTAAAAATGGAGTGTGTATGCTTTACTTCAATCTATATGTTTGCATGAATTGTTGTGCTTGCGACAGATTCTTCTCCTGAAAGCTTTGGCAGGTCAAGCATCTTCTTACACTCCACCGCTTAATTCCCTCCATTAAGCAACTTCCCAGGAGGTGAAGGACTCTTCTTCTCGCATTCCTCTTCTCAGTTCTGAGTTTTTTATTTTTGTTTGTGCTTTTGCAGTTCTCATTCCTTCCTTCATTTTGCGCTTTGTTTTTAGCTTTTTTGACCTGTTTGATTTTGGTTCAGCAAATCTTTCTTTCCCTTTCGCGGTTTTCCTATCATCCAATGCTGTCTTCTACTCGCCATCATGATCAAAATCGCATTTTTTATTCTTTCAACGCGATTTTTCTTTTAGTTTTTGAGGTTCCTTTCGATTCTTTGTTCTGATATTCATTCCATGTTTTTTTTTTCTTATTGTTCTTCTTTCCATTTCTTTCATCTGGATGGTTTTTTTGAGAGTGTGATTAACTGAAGGAGGTTTTGGTGCCAAAACTGCAGCGGGATTAAGGACTGGAGAAATAATTTTATATGCATTTTTCAACAGGAACATCGAGACATTCTTGGAAGCCTGCCATGGTTTCTAATACTATGGATCCTTCTTACTGGCTCAACTGGAGATTCTTGTTGTGTGCTGTATGGGTTCTTTCTTCCATGGCGGTGGCTTCCTTTTTGATGTGGAAATATGAAGGTTTTAGAACGGATGGTACAGAGGGAGGAGAAGCTCAAAATGGAAAGAGGGGGACTTTATATGAGGATGAGGCTTGGAGGCCATGTCTTAGGACAATTCACCCTGTTTGGCTGCTGGTTTTTCGGGTTGTTGCATTTTTTGTATTTGTGGCCCTGCTTGCTGTCACCATTGTTGTCGACGGAGTTTCCATATTGTTCTACTATACTCAGTGAGACTCCTTTCTTGAATTTTTGGTTTCAAATTGGTGAATTAATTGACTGAATAAATGCTGCATATCATTTTCACTCTTATCCTAATTATTTGTAGTTTTGCATTTGAATTGATGGAGTTCCCTTATATTTTTGTGTGTGGATTCTTTTGTTTCATTAAATTAATTGTTAAGCATGTGTGTGCCTAAATAGAATTGTATATGCTTCTTACATTATTATTTTATATATTAAAGTTAATGCCATTACTATGCATCGTAGTTGGCCTAGCTAGTCATGTTTTGTGCAGTTTCTTTTCTATATTTCATTGTTTTGCGAAGATAGTAATAAAGCTTCACAAAAATCAATTGAAGATGGGGGAACAAATACACCAAAAATCACAAACACTAGACAAATAAGTTTATGTGGTTTGGTGAGATACAACTATGTCGTTGTTCGCATATAAATTAATAACTTAATTAAGCTTCAAAAGAGTTTTATACCAAGTATTTCTCTTCATATAATGTTGAAGATAATAATAGAAATATTATTTTTCTATGTTAATGACTGATATAATAAAATTACCTCCAGTGAAGATGAGGGCTTGGTGTAGAGAGGAAGATATTGTTGCTACGGCTATTACTCTCCTCTTTTCCTTATTGTTTAAGCTTTTCTTTATTATAGCAAAAAAATTGACCTTCTAATGAAACCTAAATTAGTAGCACTTTATTCTTCTTGATGAAACATATAATCTTCACCTTTCAGGCGCCTTAAAAACTCTTCCCTTTTTATCAATTGGCAGCCCATCCCTTTCTATCTTCAAGGTCCTTACATTAGCACAAGATCTTTGAAAAATATATATATTTTTTTCAATGCTATCCATGTAATGACACTAAGACTCTACCACAGATGAGGGCTTTGTAAAAGAAATAAAGGGAAAAAGAAGATTGAATTCAGAAATTCTCTTATTTGATTTAGGTTAGTAGTATACCCCATGGAACCCATAGAAAGGGTGAATTAGATTTTGCCAAGAGAGAACAAAGAGTGAGAATTTAGGATTGTAGTTAGAATTTTAGCCATCAACAACTATTATGATGGCATGATGAATTCCAAAATATTTGAAGTTGGATCTAGTTCTAAGGCTAAAAGGTTTGCTGCAGGAGGAGGGTATTGCAGGTACTACCAAGGTCAGCGAGACATTCAAATTGACCCTATCATCTTGAATAGGAGAAGGAATTATAATCTATAAGGGAGGCCCAAAGAAGAGGTCAGCTCTTAAGAAAGTTGCAAAATAGGAAAGTGCTAGAAAAGAGAAACGAAGTGAGCTTCTTGTACATCCATATAACTCCAAACCTCACTTCTATAATGAGGAGGGCATAACTTCCTTTAAGTGGGAGAAAGTTTTTGATAGAGAAATCATAGAATTGAACAATAATTTGTTATCACCGAGTTTTAGGTTAAATTCTACTACTTATGATCTTGATTTGCTTATTTTTCTTAGATTTTTACGTAATCATTTGAGCCAAATGCGAGTAAGTTACTCACATGAGACTCTAACGCATCCATAACTATTGAGTTGGCGTTTCATTATTTATCTAGCTAGAGATATCAAAAGACCATTTATAAAATGCTATGGAATAGAATAAAACTTCTAGGAGTTGCTTGTAAAGACAACAAAAAGCTTTGTGATTCCTTCAACATGGAGAAGTTTTTTAGTGCACTATTGAAGTCGAAAATTGGAGAAAATAATAACCAAGCATAGCACTTTTTGAAGGGAAATATATTTAAGAATGAAGCTTCACTTTCCATGATGTCTACTTAGAATAAAAAACTATGCCCATAACTTGGGGTCTCCTCAAAAACGTTATTAAAAGAGAGTGAAGCAAGCATTAACTGCATTGTTGAGTCATAGAAAATCTCAATGCAGAATAAATTATTGAAGATTGATTCATCAATGAATTCTTTTTAAATAGATATAGTTAGCAATATAGTTTCATTTTGTGGTGTACCTTCTTAAAAATATGAGCAAGAAATTGCTTTTTGCCTTGAGAATTTAGTTAGCTAAGATGTCTTTTACCCTAGAAAATATTGAATATTTTTATCAAAGCATTTTGGAGCACTTGAATGTGTGAGAAACACAACAATGATCAATATCGCCAATCAGTTAGACAAGATGTTTTGCCTTTTTAATTTTTTTTTTCTTTTTTTATTCTGACATGAAGTATTAATTAGTGGAGAATTGTACATATTTTGAGGAAATGAAATAATTTATCACTTTTAATCTTTATATTAAGTTTTATTTTTTAAGCTATGAAATTTTTAAATATGACTGCTTATTTGTATAATTAAAATTTTCACTTCATTGACTTGAATAAAATTAAATGTTTGTGTGATCCATTGTCAACTCTTATTTAATCGATTATCATCCTTTAACTAGTTCATCTTATTTGGACTAGTTATTTGTCTTATATGGATGGGTTTCTCCTTAATGCCATAACTTTCATCCTTATAGGGATAATCATTTTTAAAACTCACTACTAATCTTGTACAATTGGGGAGTTTGGTTTCTAATACATGAATCCATTCTTAGAAACTTTCAAGATTTAGAGTGATGTTTTTTTTTAAATTTTTTTTGTCACTTTAAAGGATTCCATAGATTATCAAGTAATATAAATCATTTAAGAATAACATGTTAACTGAAAGATTCCTAGTTTGCTAGAAGTTTAAATGATAAAGAATAATGCATATAATACTAGTTTAAGTTCATCAGATTTGTTTTTTTTTTCTTGAGTAAAGCTCATTTTCAAGGTTAGGTTTAATACTTCATTAAGTGTATATTATGCGTGCACTGGAGGCTTTTAACTCATTTACAAGCCATGTCTCTCACTTTTAGACTTGGCCTTAAGTAGTTATTACTCTAGTCGTCTACTCATGTTAGTCAATCTCTTGCTTCATTGGTCATGCATATAAAAAAATTAGTTTTCCCATTTTTTATCCAAGTCACTAAGATCTGTTGAATTTATTTGTCTTCAAGTAGGAAAATCAGATGCTGTCTTAAAGATCGAATTCTCCAACAATTTTTTGAGTTATCAAATTCTTCTAAACCCAAATTTTCAAAGACATAATAAGTTCCTGGGACGAGTCTCCTAGCATAATCAAATAACAAATTAGCATATTCTTGTGTTGATGAATTCTCTGTATACTTTGAAATTGTCCAATTCCTTGCAAACTTTAGTATGATAAGTTCTCTTAATACTACAAATTGCCTAAATTTTTACAGTGAATTCATTACTTACTAGAGCTGAATTTTCAATTTCTGTTGGGCCCACATAATTAAGATGCCTTGATATTGTCCAATGCATTTTGGTATCTTCAGCAGTAATCAAGAAACTTAGAATCTTCCAAAACATGGCTCCAAAGATACACTTTGATGGTTTTGGTGCATATTGCTTTTTCTCAGTGTGAGTAATGACAATAGAGGTCATTGGTGTGTTAACTCTGATGACATTGGCATGATCATAAATTCAATTTCTCCGCGCTCACAAAAGAAGTCGTAAAGGGGCCTATCAGTATATGTCAACTTAAGAAAATCAAAATTAACTTTATCAAACTAATATAAAAATGATGTTAAAAAAATTCAATGTCAATGGGAATGCTAGCAAAATGATTGTTGAGAATCGGAGATGTAATGAAGATGACATAACTAAAAGGTTTTTAGTGATAGGTTTTTCAACATCATGAAGTTGACTGATAAATCCAAAGAAATGCAACCCTCCCGATTAGAAACATTTTAGGCTTTCCTAACTTGACACCTCTGCTCTAACTTCTCCAAGAGTCATTGGGACAACTGCTAGAATGTGAATGACCTAATCTAGAAGAATGTTTGTTTAAATTATACACTATTGATGCCTTGTTGTGATATCATCCTGAGCCAACAAGGATCAATTATTTCAGTTTCTCAATAGGATTGAGCTCTTTTAGCAAGTTTTGAAGGCGCCAGTATACTTCTGTTTAATGCTTATTGTTCTCATAAAAATACAATACTTATTATTTTTAGGTATAAAGTGTTGCTCTTGAAATGCGGAGACTGTCACCAAGTACTTCTCATCTTAAGACACATTCATAACCTCGATGAGTGATACTCTTAGAGTATAAGCAGATAGTGCCATTGTAGAGATGATTCCTTCCATCTTGCATTGTAATTGGTCAAATGGCCCCAATCTGTCCTTTCAGAATAAAAACCTGTGTTGTGATGTTCTTGTTGCTGCTGTTAGCGATGGTAATTTAAGTTGGCTTACGCCATCTATTGTTATGTGGCATATTGGGGGTGTCGCCAAGTTTCTTCCTGTCTTATATTTGCGCATTTAAAGGGGAAGGCTGTTCCCATGCAATTACACTCTACATTAATTCAATTGTTGGCAAATTCCAAAAGCCTTGCAAATGTTTTGGGTTATAATAAGTTGAATGCATAGGAGAAGGAACATTCTCAAAGGCTTTACTATTAGCATTGCCAACACGACAACATTGTCAAAACCTTGGATTCCCACCATATCTCACCAGAGTTGCGCCACAAAATGACAAAGTGACTCGAACAGTTTTCAGTAGCTTTTGGGCGCTAATGAATTGAGTGATAAACAAGTACTCAAAATCTAAGGGGCTGGAAATGCTCCATTTAAAATATGAGAACTGCTAAAAGGTTTTTAAAAATACATCTCCGGTAACATGATGTTCTATGTCACGTTCAAGCTTGATAATTAACTCGCTATTTATATGAGAGCCAAGTTCGGTAATACATGGAAGCCAACATGGTAAAATTGTGAGAAAAATACATGATTGGGCTCAGTTTTGATCACTACATTTCTAAAAGGTTTGGTTGACTACCTTGATGTAAAAACTTCAATCAAGTTTCTAGTTGTGGGCAAGTATCATTAACAAGTTCTTCTGTTATGAACCCTCACTTGCTTAGGATTTTTTTATATCACATTTTTTTTGTTTTTTATGTTTTTTTATTTATCTTTTGATTTAATTTAAAACACTTTCGATTGTGATAGGTGTTTTTAAAAAAACTCAAAACATCTTTCAAGTATTTTGAGTGTTTTTAAAAAGAAGGTGATTTACTTTTAAAAACAAAAAATAAAAAACATATAAAGATTATGCTCTCCAAACATGATTTCAAAAACAATGGTAAAAAAAAAAAATCAAAATTGAAGCCAAATGGACCCTTAGTACTTTAGACGAGCTATTTGGATGAATAGTCTCAGTCCCCTGGTGAGTATTATAAGAGAATAGCTTCCTTATAGGCTACTCGACCAAGTGTGATCAATGGCTGAGTACCGAGGATTAAGTTTATTTTATGGGTGACTTGTGGCCTTGTGTGAGTATCGAGTTAGGTTCATAATTGGCGGCTTTTGACCAGGTTTAGACACTCATGATATTTTGATCAATCTGGCCTACATGAATATGGGGTGTATAATTCTCATTGCACCCTTAGATAGATTAATCGAATATTTCTTTTCAAGGAGAAGATTCAACCATTTCTCATAAAGATTTTATCTTGCAGAAATTTTAAGTCTGCATGATTAATAGGTACTTGCAACGGTAGTAATTGCCTTACATATTAGCCTCTTACGCAGCAAACTAAATTTAATTTTTAAAATGAAATTATTTAGTGAACATGTCTAATTCTTTTTCCATTCTTCTGATTTTCATTATGTTGACATTTTACTTCAAATGTGATTGTGCATAAAGAAATGGAACGTTATTGATGATTGTAAGATTCTTCCTAACAGCTTCTGAAGGAACTTCCTGTTTTACATCTAAATGATAGCAGCTGTCTCTCTGGTTAAAACATTGCTGCATTTGATGATACTCTTAAAGCTTTTGTTAAGGATTTCTGTTACAAATGATAAAGAACTTGCCTTCTTTTTTTGGACAATTTTGTTGCTAAAAACGTTAAAATTTTCTGAAAATTTAAAATTTATTATCCCATCTCTTATATGTTATGATATGATCTTCTGTGTCACAGGTGGACATTCATGCTGGTCACGATTTATTTTGGGGTAGGTTGAGAGTTTTCTTAGATTTTGTATGGAAAAAAAGTGTCAAAATGGTCCCCGAATTCTTTGTTGGGAGTCATATTAGTCGTGGAGTCTATAAAAGTGTCAATTTTGTCCCATACTTTTTCAATAGTCTAAATTATTCCTCTCTGGGGACTATTTCATTACATATTAAAAGAATACGAGGACTAATTTGATATTTTTATAGACTCTGGGACTAAAATAACCCCATGAGAATAGTCGGAACTAATTTAGCACTTTACTCCTTTTGTATGTAAGGATGGTTTCAGTTATGACATCCGATCTTTTGAATTTTCTTCTGAAAAGCTTATTCTAACATGTGCACGATGCTCATTTTGGCCCTCTTCTTTTAGCTTGGCTTGTTGCTGTCTGCTTATGGGTGCTATCAATACATAAATATAGTTTCTGGTGATAGGATTGAACGTATGAGGTTGGATTCTGAGCACAGCTCAACCATATCAACCATAAATTGTGAAACTCCAAATCGCTCTCATACAATGAAAACTCCTATGTTCCAAGGTAACCAAATCAATCGAAAAATTGCAGGGTTTGGTGGATATCTCTTCCAGATAATCTATCAGGTACTCTGAGGAGAAGAAATTGATTTAGATATGTGTCAAAGTTTATTCTTTTTCATTTGATCATGAAATAATTACTTTTTTTTTTCGAGATTATGATTTTATTTTCATATAATTTCATTGAAGATGACCTGTTGGGATATTGCTGATGAATTATGGTCATTCAACTTTATTTGGATAACTTGTCTATATACTGATAAAAAGAGGGGAAAATAAAATAAAAATACAAAATAATATCGCGATAATAAATGGTAAGCATCTTTGCTGTATATGACCATAACATGCCTAGTGAAAATATAGTTTGATTTAGATTGAATGATAGTTTATAGGACTTTAGATTGAAAAAAAAACAAAAAATAAAATTCAAACAGCACAAGCATTTTTTTTTTCTTGGATTTGCCACACCATACCTTGTTTGTTTGTTAACTCTGAGGTTTAACATATTTTGAATATCAAATGTGTTACATCAGGTTTGGTGTTTTCGATAATTGATTAATTGTGTCCACAAACCTCTTGATACATTTGGCGCTTTCCAATCTCATGAGTTTTTGTGGATTTTATTCATTTAATTTACTACTACTGTTACTTTTATTATATTTCATTAAAAAAGCAGATGGAGAAAGGTTTTTTAATATTTTTTGCGCTTGTTCTGGTTAACTAATGTGTCTCTTTTAACTGTGAACAGACGAATGCAGGTGCTGTCATGCTTACAGATTTTGTCTTTTGGCTTATCATATTTCCGTTTCTAGCTGTGAAAGATTATGACCTCAATTTTGTAAGTATCCATTTCCTGTAAATGAAGTGTTTGTTAATTGCATTCATTGCCTTATTCTGGCTTGAATAATAAGAATCCTTAGGAGACAATGCTCTTGTGTACAAGAAAAACCAAATATCTTTACATCTTATCATTATTTATAATTTGCCAAGTAAAATTCAGTTTATGACCTTCTGCTTCATGCTCTCTAGACAATTTTATAAATCAAAATTTGTTGGCAGTTTTAGTTGTTTATCTTCACACCTTGAGATCAACTATTTTGAATTTTGTGTGGAATTCTCATGCTGGTACTTATTGTTATTTCTGTAATCATAATTTTTTAGTAGATTCAAATTAGTTGAGGTAGTGGCTTGGAACCTGAACATGAGATTTTGAATGATCCCATTACGAAACTAGTCTTCAAATAAGTTCTTAAAATGATATGAATTAGATACTAATAGCAAAGGCAATGAAGGAAAGTAGAAAATATTTCATTTTATTATAGAAATAAAAAAAAAGAAAAATTTTACATGTGCATGATTGTTATTACAAGCCTTACCCAAACCCAACTTCTATTGCCATATTGAAAAAAAAAAAAATCTTATTTGTTGATCTCCATTGCAGCTACAAATAGGAATGCACTCAATAAATGCAGTCTTCCTCCTTGGCGACGCTGCGTTGAATTCTTTGGTAAAACTTTTTTTCTTTCCTTTAGCCAAATGATCAATTATGCTATTTTCAAAGAATTGCTAGTAACTTTACATATTTGATCCTTTCTTTTTATGATTTTTATTAGCAATTCTCTTCATTCCGAATTGCATATTTCTTGTTATGGACGTCAATTTATGTAATTTTTCAGTGGGTCTTCCATATTTGCAAATCAATCTGGTAATTTTTTACTCTTAACTTTGATTTTGAAGCTTTTGTAATGCATGGCTCCTCGTTTAAATTTTTGTTTGTTTGATTTTCATTCATCCAGGTGGCCCTATCCATTTCTTGACTTGTCATCAGCCCATGCCCCTATCTGGTATGGTCTTTTTGCTAACAAATGCTTTCTAGTTATTATCTTTTCAAATATTACAGAACTGTGTTGTGGAGAGCCATTTTTAGTCCCAGACTCTATAAAAGTGTCAATTTAGTCTCCAAATTTTAAGTTGTGGCCTAAATAATCCTCTCTAGGAACTTATTTCAGCCCATATTAAAAAAAATCCCCCATCCCGCCCGCGCAAATAGTCACACAGGAGCTTATGATGCCTCTCTTGCTTGTATAGGTACTTCGTCGTCGCGGTTTTGCACGTCCCCTGCTATGCCGTCTTCTCTTTAATAATTAAACTGAAGCACTACTTGCTTATGAGATGGTTTCCTGGGTCCCATTATCCAGCAAGCTAGAAGAGGCAACCCAGCCATTTCTGCGCCTTGTGACAATGAGCGGTTCTCTCTCCCAGTTCTATTAGACAATTCTGAAGTCCAAAGAGAACCTCTGCTCTGATGAAATATCCAGAGGATTCTGTTGGCCATTAAAGAAGGCAGACTCAACAATCAGCCCGACCGTTCGGCCACATCTATACTCCATTCTTTTGTATAAAGATTCAAGTTTTGTGGGTGTTATATAGTCATAGAATACATATTCTAGGACTATATGGGTTCGGGAGAAATAGAGTTAATTATGCTTTAGAGGTGCTGGAAGTTGGTTTTTTTCTGCATGTTTATTCATTCTGAACTAAAAGTACTGTATGTGAAAGCATTGAAGTGAAGATCTTTTGCTCTTAAGCATGTGATTGGAAGGAGTGTGTTCAATTTTCAGCTATATTTTCTTTGTTTTGTATCTCTATGATTGCTTTGTTGGCCTCTAGTTTCCTCTGTTGGGCATGATTACAGGAGCTGTGTCGGACTCTTCTAGTTGGGTTGAATTTTTATTTGTTTTTACAAGTGAAAAAAAAAAAGAGAAAAAGTTTCCTGCTTGCTTAATGTTTTTAGTGGTATTTTTATGTTAATTAAAAACTAGTGGTTATCTAAATAATCATAATGATTTAGGGAAATTTACATGCATACTGCACAATTCTGAAGTACTTACATATCAATCACATAAAGTTTGATATTTACATTTATAACATTTTATGGATTATTGATTATGGATTATGGATTATCAAATATGGTTCAACAATGGAGAAGTTTGCAAGCAGTCTTTTTATGGGATGTAAAAGTCAAGTTCATGTATAAATAAATATTAAAGTTTAAATGTTAAGTATGCAGATGCATAGAAATAAAGTTATAGGCATGCGAGATTCACATATCTATTACAGAAATTTTTTTTTTTTAATATTCACCTGTCCAGTTTAGATCTTTATATTTACTAGTAAAACACTATAACTGATTTGTTTTGATGCAAAGATTTTGATATAATTTAGCAAAATGACGATGTAAATCAATATAAAAATTTAAGTGTTAGATATATAAATTCTTAAAAATTATGTTATATGTATGTACAAATGGGGCTTTAAATACATATCATAAAATTCATGCATTTGCATATACAACTCAAAAAGGGGGCAGTTACATACATATTACAGAATTTTTATTGTTGAATCATGATTTGTTTGTCAATAAAACCCAAGAAATTGAGCGTAAGGAGAGAGATGAGTAAACAGTAATGAATTAAAATATGTCATGCATTATTCATAAAATGATATCTCTATTTACAGGGGAGATGATACAATATGGTGATGTTATATTTTTGTTCTTCCTTTAAATAGGATTGTACAAGATATTCTTGGTGTTTTACATGTATAAGTCTATCATTTAATTGTTCTGTGACCCAATTGGCTCAGCATAATTGACTTCTGTCAATGGGTCTTCCTTTGTCATACTCTTCATTTTTAAACTGATGAATCTCCTCCGGATCAGTGCAAACATATTTTTAATGTACAAAGTGCACTCATATATTAACATACTTGACATCTAAACATCCATAACACCACATCAAAAATATCACACCACTTTCTTTTTAAAAATGAAATACACATTTTCATATAGATCAGACTTTTATAAATATAAATATGAAACTTGAGCCATAAGATATGTAAATACACATGCATTGTGTGGTATATATGTAAACTTCAAAAAAATAAAAAATAAAAATAAAAATAAAAATTTCCCGGCCAAAAGCCCAAAGCTAACCTGTGTAAAACATTTTTGAGCAAGCAACGAATATGCTCCCTCACTCCCCCACCCCCCTTCATCATCCCCCACCTCATGAAATCCACTTCAATCAATCAACTTAATTTTTGCACCACTCCTCCAATCAATCTAAACAAATTACTCTCTCATGGCTCCACCTTCCCCAACAGCACCATTCACGCCACCAACTCTCCTCCTCCTCCTCTTCTCCTCATTCCCCCTAACCCCCTCGTCCCCAACCTGCAGATCCTACTGCGGAAACATAACCATCGACTACCCCTTCAGCATCCAACCCGGGTGCGGCCATCCCATCTTCCACCAACTCCTCTTCTGCATCAACAACCTCCTCCTCCTCCACATCCCCTCCGGCTCCTACCGCGTCCTCTCCATCGACTACCCCTTCCGCCGCCTCACCCTCAACGACCCCACCATGTCCCACTGCTACTCCCTCTCCCCCAATCCCTCCCCTCCCCGCGGCTTCATACCCAACCCATGGCGCTCCCAATTCCTCCTCCCCGCACCCGACAACGTCTTCTTCCTCCTCGGCTGCCCCCCCGACTCCCCCCCCGCCCTCCCCCCCCGCCCCAAAGTGATTGCTCCCCTCTCGCCTTCCCCCTCTGCCGAAATGTATCCGGGATGGGGTGCGAGGACTACTATCGTTGTCCTGCGTGGGAGGCGGAGGGGAGGTCATGGCCGGCGTACGGAGCGGAAGAGTGCTGCTCGGTGGCGGCGGGGGATATAAAGGAGGTGAATTTGACGAGGCTGAGGTGTGCGGCGTATAGTAGCGCTTATAATGTTGCGCCGGTGAGGGCGAGAGGGCCGGGGGATTGGCTGTATGGGATTCGCGTGGCTTATTCGGTGCCTGGCGAAGATGAGGAGGGCTGCCGCGCGTGTCAGCTTTCGGGGGGATCGTGTGGATACGACGCGGAGGAGGTGGGGGATGATGAGGGTTTGGGTGGGGTGATGCCGAGGAGGCTCTGTTTTTGCGGTGGTGGGTCTTATGCATGGAATTCTTCGTCTACTTGTGAATCTACAGGTATGGATAAGAAGGTTGTATTTCATTATAAATTATTTATATTTTTTAAAATTTTTACATGCTAATCATCTAAAATAATAAATATAGTATTTTAATGACTTGAATTTTAAATATAATATTTACCTGTGATATGTATATTGTGCATTATGATTTGTACAGGGATTTCTGAAGGCTTCATCATCAAGCGGGCTTCCATTCATATGGGTGTTCTTGGAGGTATGTAAGTTTTATTCCTTAGTTTAATACGGACCTTATTTACATCAATTTTATTTTATTTTTATTTTTATTTAAAAAAACACTTAATATAGTTTTTCAATTCTGCTAATTTTTATTCTAAAAAGTAAATTAATTTATTTTTTAAAATATTCATAACATTTAAAAATTATTTTGAGTTTTTTTTAAAAAAATTAAATGTGTTATAACATACTAAATTGTGTTTTATTTCAGGTTACATATATATATATATATACTTCAATAAGCTGAAATTATGTTTTACGTTCATGCAGGTTGGTTGGTGTATGGATCTGGCCTTTTTGCGATTTAAGTTGGTGTAGTTTTTTATGGGAAGACGCTTTCTTAATTTCTATGACATGAGTCGGCTTTTATGTGCTATTTCTGCGGTATCAGACAAGCAAGCAAGCAAGCAAGCTAGTAACTGAGAAACAATACTTCCCCATAAATTTTTTTTATATGTTTTTTCCTCAGGTTCTCTATTGTAATTTGGTTCATTGCTCAAAAACTGATTTAAATTTTAGCTCGGATTGAGATCATATCAGACGAGCAAGCAAGCTAGTAACTGAGAAACAATACTTCCCCATAAATTTTTTTTATGTGTTTTCCTCAGGTTCTCTATTGTAATTTGGTTCATAGCTCAAAAATTGAATTGAATTTTAGCTCGCATTGAGATCCGATTAAAATAAACAAGCCGAGCTATGATTTGAAATTTTGAATCGAATATTTTTCGAGCCAACCCTAACTCGGCTCGAAATCGGATCGTTAACAGCCCTAAAAATGTTAGAGATGTGAATTAAGTGAATTTAGCTCAAAGATTATTAATCACTCGAACATTGATTTGAATTTTAGCTTGGATCTTGATTGGATCAAAATAAACAAGCCAGGCAACAAGCCAAAATTTTGAATCAAAAAAAAATTTTTTTTTGACCGATTTTGAGCCAACCCACTCGAAATCAAATCATTAACAACGCTATGCATATTCGGGATGAAAAAGATGATAAATTTGAAACTAGAAAACATCTTTAAAATGTTTTTGAGTGTGCGAAAACACAATAAAAACATATAAATTGCAATATCAGCCAAATTTTTTTAAGAAATAACAAGAAAAGAAAAGAAGTGATGCTAACGAGACCTAAGGATCAAATCCAATCAAATTTCACATAAGGATGCAAATAAAGAAATACTATCAATACCAAAGAGAACAAAAAGACAAAAATCCTATTCATACCAAATAGAATGACACCAAAGAGTACAAAAACAATCACCATCTTCATTTCTTCTTAGGCTTCATGTTGCCTTTAATAACAACGTCTTATAAAACGAAACCTCAAATGAACATGTTTGGTCTTCCCAAGAAAAAATGAATTATAGCACAAATGAACAACCATATGGATATATGAGAGCATGATTGTAATTTTATTCTATCCTTTAGATCTTCCAACTAGGGCTGTCAAAAAAGCGCGAACAACTCGTTAAGTAGCTCGTGTTGGGCTCGTTCGTTAAGTAAATGAGCCGAACGCGAACAAGTTTTTAAAGCTTAAATTATAAATGGGCCGAATAAGAACAACTCTTTGTTCGCTCGTGTTCGGCTCGTTTTAGCTCGAAATAAAATATATACATATAATTATTTATATAATAATATATTACATATATTATTAATATAATAATATATTTTATATATTTATATCTAAGTTTAAAACATAACTGCTCGTTTGGTATGCGCCTTCTTTTATATTCAATTGGTCCTGATTCGAATCGAGCACTTTACATTTATTTTTTCACTTTAATTTAACGAGCCGAACACGAACACACTGTTCACGAGTCGATTTCAAGCACGAGCCGATATTGAACACGA